TCCTGCTTCTGGGTCAGGTATGAAATTGGGCCCTATGCATTCTGCTTTGTTGGTGTTGACTCTTATAGGTGTAACGTAACCGTTGTCGGCGAAGTGGTAGAATACTTCGGCGTTGGCGCTTTCGCGAGGATTTTCGTCATCCATTGGGACGTCAACAGAGCAGTAAGGGAGAGGTCCAGCTTCCTACGAGGTTTCATCCACGTTCTGCTCATCCCAGTCAGCTTCGTCTGCTGCCATGGCGAAGGCTCGGTCACCATGGAAACCACCATTGAGGTCCCGGTCTTCGTCCAGGTTGGCAAGGTACGTCGGAAGTGTGAGTCGCTCGTAGAAAATGACATCATGTGCTGCTACTGTTTCCTTTGAGTGGACGTAAAAAATCTTCCACGCGTTGTAATTTCTTTCGATGCCCAGGTGTAGTCCCCACTGTGCGCGTTGGGAGAATCGGCCGGCTCGTGCAGCTGGGGGTCGGTACTGTACCATGCAGCTGAAAACTCTTAGCATTTTCGTGCTGCCCTGTTTTCGTGTCCACAGCAGGTGCGGTGATGCGTTGTTCGGGAGCGATGATGACGAGAGCAAGTTGTGCAGCATGACAGCGTGGTCCATTGCTTCGGGCCATTGGTGGTTGGGTAGCCGCATGCCACGTAGTAGCTTGCGCATGATGTTCTGGAGAGTCATGTTCATCCATTCTGCTACGCCTTGCTGTTGGTGAGCATAGGGAAGGGAGATGAGCCGCTTGATCCCTCTTTCTGCCAAGTACTACTTGAACCTCTGTGAGGTGTATTCTCTTCCTCCGTCTGACTCAAAGCTCTTTAACTTCACACCTGATTCTCGTTCTGCTACTGGGAGCCAGGCGACAAAGGCCCCGAAAGCCATATCTTTGCTCGGAAGATTGAGGTGCCAAACGTAGCGTGTGGCGGCATCGATGAACGTGATGGTGTAGCTGTATGATCCTTGTCCAGGTTCGTGATTGTACAGGATGTCACTGTACACTTTCTCGAGTGGTGCGTAAACTGGTGCGCTAGGGTTGTGGTGAGAAGCGAACGGCCGATGTGGTAAGTCGGCTTCGGGGCAGGTAAAGCACGTATCGCGAGCTCGTCGAATTTCGCTTCCGTCGGTTAGAAGCAATGAGTCTTTGTCGAGCACGCCTGCTCTGATTGTGTTATTAAACACCGTGTTGCTTGGATGTTCCATTCGTGCGTGCCAGATGTCTTCGCCAACTCGATGTCCGGGTGAGCGACGGTACAAGTCGGAGTTGGAGTAGAAGCTTGCGGTGAGGTTTGCGCTTCGATGTACTTCTCGTGGTGTTAGATTCAGTTGCTGCGCAGGAGTCGGTGGAGTGTCGTCGTCGATTGGGGCTGGTGCAGTTGAAGGACCCGCGGTTGGTGTCGATGCTGTCTCTGCTGCTGCCGATGTTGTCTCTGTTGCTCCCGATGTTGTCTCTGCTGCTGCCGATGTTGTCTCTGCAGGTGCCGGTGTTGTCTCTGTTGTTGCCGATGTTGTCTCTACTGCTGCCGATTGAATTGTTGCTAATGCTCTTGTTCGTTCTGCCTCAGGGATGGTGTGCCAATACCAGAAACCTTCGAGGCTGAAGTCAGGATCGAGATCCGGTGGGTGCGTCCAGGAGGTGAAGGTGACGATTCGGTCGCTGTCGGCGGTGCCTAGATCTGGAACGAAGTCAAGGACAAACACGTTGTTCTTCAGCACGGCCTTGCCGATGTAGGGGCCTCCTCTTCCATGGTATAGCTTGAACTCCTGTGTTGTACTGTCTGCTTTGAGGTGGATACCTTTCGCCATCAGCTGACTGACACTTAGTAAGTTGTAGCCGAGTCCCTCCGCAATTAAAACCTTTGACATTTGTAGTATGACATTTGTCTCTCGTGACTGAAGTTGCACTACGCCTTGTCGTCGTGTGTGCAGGTTCTGGTTGTTGGCGGCGGTGATGACGACTTTGCACTGAAGTTGGTGTTCGCGTTGAACGAAACGACCCGGAGAGCACATATGCTGTCCGCAGCAACTGTCCAAGAACCAAGTGTCTTTCCCGGATGGCTCGCTTTGAGCAATGGCTGCATACGTCGGGTTCGGTTGAAGTGACTCGCGACGAGGGGTACTGTTGTCGAGTCGCTCTTCCGGTGAGTAGTGTGGTGGTGACTCGGTGATGCAGGAGTCAGTCAATCTTGCCATGCAGCTGACGATGTTTCTTGCTCCCAGTGCAGATTGTGTTGACGATGTCGTTGAGGGCTGCAGTTGACTCGTGGAGTGTGCTTGTGTGGACGCCACTTGACTGCTTGAAGGACGAAGTTGGCGTTGCGGCGGCGTTGAGTACTGTCGATTCGGGCAGTGTGTGCGAGGGTGCCCTGAAGTCTTGCAGAGATGACAGAACGGAGGTACGGGTTTTGGTTGATGCCGGTTGTTGTTGTTGTTGTAGCGCCGTTGAGTGTGAAACGCAAATTCGGGTACTGACGTTTTCTTCTTGTGCCGCTCCTCTTGCAGGTCCATGTCTTGCTGCTCAGCGTGAATTTTGGCGCATAGTGCTGCTTCGGAGATCTTCCCGTGAGCTCGGAGTATGGCGCGAGTGGAGCGCCAATGAGGACCAAGACCGCCAATGACAACTGTGACGAAGGCGTCTTCCGATATCGACCCTCCACATCGAAGGAGTTTGTCGCGCAATTCGCGACAGCGACTGATATACGCCATCCCCTTTTCGCCCGGTTTCATTTCCACTGTTGTCATTTGTGCCATTAACCGAGTCTGATTGACGGTGTCTGTTGCCTGATACAGGTTCTTCAGGTGGTTGTACGCGAGCTCGGCGGAGTTCCCGTTTCCCCGGTAAGACCGAATGTTCTGCTGTTGGTTCGGTGTGACGTTGCGCAGTAGGATTGTGTACGCCATCATTGATTTATATGTGTACTGCTGCTTGTCGTATTGCGTCCCGTGCGTTGGATATGGCAGAGACCCGTCGAAGAAGCCAAGAATCTGCGCGCCTTCCATCATCAGCTCGAATTCGAACGACCAGGTAAAGAAGTCTTTTCCGTCGAACGGTCTTGATGTCTGCAGTTTTAAGAAGTGCGCAAACAGCGACTGGACTTGAAGTGCATCCAATGTCTTTTCTAGCTCAGGTGAAGGCTGCTGACGCGGCATGAAGCTGACGGAACCGCGCTGAGGTTCGTACGAGGCAAAGGTAGGTTGTTGTTGCTGATTTCCTCGCGCGTAAGATGAACCGTTGAGGCTCATCGGAGTCACGTCGTTGTTGTTGCTGTTGTTTGACTTCGCAGGTGCCCCTTGCTGGTGTTGTTCGTAGAATGACATGAAGGAGAAGAACTTCTCCATCATGTCTGGGTCGAAGCCCGCAACTTGATTCGGTAGACCCAGCTGCCGGTCTTGTTGCTGTGCCCTTCTCTGTCTGTAGGCCAGAGGCAAGAGGTGGAGTAGGAGTAGTACCGGGAGAGCCGTTAGAGGAGCTTCTCTCCTTCTGCGTTGCCATGCCTTATGATGTTGTAGGTGTCTTGATAGTAGTTGAGTTTGCCCTGATAGCTCTCATACCATGTTGGGCTAAGAAAAGCCCTTAGGATCTTTGGAGGACTAAACTCTGAGTAGGAACAATGTAATAGCGGAAGCGTTTAATGATAAGTCTGTGAACCACCTTGCGCTGGTATGTGAGGGCAAAGTAGATTGATTAAAACAAAGAGATACAAGCTTTTATAAGAGTACAAGGGAATATGAAGGGTTATAGCTAATAACTGTTTTGCTGTTGCTGTTGCGGTTTGATACTGTGACGACTCGGACAAGTGTTCAACAACGAGTTAGTTGTTTGTCCTTGCTGTCGCGCTGTACTTGTCAGGTCAAAGGTCCCTGACCTTTGACTTTCATGTAACCTCCAGCAGTTTTGTTCAACCTCCAAGGGTTGAATCGCCGATGCTTCGCTGTGTTTCGCCTCGTTTACGACTTAGTGCTTCGACACGACAGTGGCGCTTAAATTACTTGTTTCCAACAGGAACATGCCCTAAGACACGGTTGCTTCCATTTCAGCATAGATTCTCATTCCATGGTGCTTATTTTTTGTTCAATTGATTCTGAAAGCGAGCTAGAACGAGGTAAAACGTTTCAGATGGATAGCTAGAGTAGGGTTGCATCTTCCACCTTAGGAAGTTTGTGACAGGCACTATAATAACTCATTAGACAAGTTGAATTATTAAACATTTATTACAGTTCACGTTTTTCGTGACTAGATGTTTCTTTCGTGATATAGCACACCTCCAATGCGAATGGCCTCAAGTTTCACATTCTCGAGCCGCACGGCGGCGGAAAACCTCGCAAAACTTTGACCATCGGAACTTGTGGCTTTCTCGTGGGCATATTGCTGTATGTGGACTACTGGTGTGGGTTTTAGGAAAACACTTTCCCGTCAACGGGAAAGCAGTATATGGTCAACGGTCAGTGGTGGTAACGACCCACAGGCCACGACAATAGACGGAAACCAAACAGAACACAAAGAGTTTCGGAAATGTTTAAAAACTGTGGCTGTGGTGGTAGTGTCCCAATTTGTCCCTACCGACTCCTACCGCGAGTGAGGAAAGGGTGATTTCTGAAAACAAAAGCAATTTTGTTTCCTTTGGTGCCACAACTTCAACATGACAGACAGTGGGGCGTGGCTCGTACAGAAGGTGTTTGTCAACGTCAAACATCACCCGGAAACCTCCCCACCGAGCAATGTCCACATGCGGTTTAGTGTGCGAGACACTCACCCACGCACACCGCACCGCCGCCCCCACAAACAAATTAACAGCAGAATGCTCCTCTATTATGCCCCCCATGCAGTCCCATCAGAGTTGTATGTTCACACAGCTTCCCCCATTGTTCACTTCTGCTGCGAGCCGCGCGCAATGGCTCCTCACCAGACCTTCCCTCGCCTCTGCTATCATGCCGCTCTGCTGCTCGCGCTTTTACTGCTGTTAGCTCCGCCGCGAGGAACGAATGCGGCGTCGCGCGTCGTGATTGCGCCGATGCGCGGGTCGAACGACCGCCTGGAGGTGTTCAAGCTGTCGGAGAACCTCTGGTTCGCCGGAACCGCGCAGCTACCGCCGTTTGAAGACGCTGGAAACGGTGGGAAAAGCGAAGGAGATAACAGCGGCGGAGATAACAGCGGCGGAGATAACAGCGGCGGAGATAACAGCGGCGGAGATAACAGCGGAAACAACGGCAACAGCACCGGTAATGACAACAGCGGAAGCGATTCGAGCGCGGGGTTCGCGGATGATCCGCGCGACTCGATGGAGTCGCGCAAGGAGGAGCTGCTTGCGCGGCTCCGCGGCGGTGGAATGGAAGCCGCAAACGCCGAATCCAGGAGCTCCGCGTCTGCGTCCGCAGCCCCAGCGAGCGCGCCGGCTCCCGCTGTGGATCCGCTGGAGCAACAGACGGTAGGCTCGCGACTCCGAGTCGGATGCTAAGGTTCCGTCACTGGGTGCGATTTTCGGACTGTATATACCTCAGTCACTGAGATATGGTGTCTCAGTCACTAAAGAACGGTTCTTTACCTTCCACACTACAGTTACTTTTATTATAGTCACCCCTGCCAAACCTGTCAATCTCTGTAGCATTCGCGTGGCCGAAAGCATGTGTTGTGCAGTTCTCTTTTAAGCCACATGCCTCCCACAATGGGCAAAGTTGTTAAGGTTTTCTTTCGTCCCGCGTTCCCCAAAACAGGAGCAACGAGTGGCGGAGGTGGGGGAGTTCTCCGCGCGCACGACGGAGCTGAAACCAGTGGTGAAGCGGAAACCGGCGGTTGGGTTTCCCGGGATCAACGAGTACAGCGGAGTAATGAGCGGTACACCACCTAAATACAACAATACAGTTGTAAGAAACGTGTTTGAGTATACAGTGCGGATTTTGGACGTGCATGAACACTAAATATGCTCCTTGTTACGTTTCAGGTCCTTGTGAGCCCTCCTGACGTCGCTCTGTGTGTGGGCAATGGATACATCCTTCACACTGTCAATGTTGGTAAGCCATTCTTTCACCTGCTTCCTCTTGCATTCACTGCCGCGCTGCTCCATTCCTTTCAACCACTTTCACCCCCCACACCCACTTCCTCTTCCCCCACAACCACTCCCTCTTCCCCCACACCCACTCCCTCTTCCCCCACACCCACTCCCTCTTCCCCCACACCCACTCCCTCTTCCCCCACACCCACTCCCTCTCCTCCCCTCCTCTTATCCCCATTGGCAGCGATGGTTGTGTATGACAAGCAAGGGAAGCAGCTCACTCGCATCATCCCACACAACGAGGCAAGAGCTTGAGCAATCATAGTAATCGCTATCTTTTAAGGCGTGAGTGCAGACATGTGCACATCCTCTTGCACCTCCACATTCCCAGTCAGAGATACTATCATTTCTGTCTCCCCACTCTCTTCCCTCCTTTCGCCCGTTCCCACCATCGACGTCAGAACCGTGCTGCTTTCCAGTCTCCCTCCCACCCCCTCTCCTTCCCCTCTCTCAGCCTCTCCTCTCCCCCGGCCCAGCACCAAATTCTCCACTCCTTGCTGTCAGTTCGTCAACGTACCATCCATACCATTCCACGGTGGTCCGCCAACAAGGTAACACATTCCCACCAATCCCACCATTTCATCATCCTCCCTCCTTCCCCAATCCCCTCGCCAGTTCGTCGCGGTTCTACCAGCGGTGGTGCTGAGAGGAGGGAGCCGTTGAACGCATCAGTAGTCCAACTAATAAGCTGACGCCATCCCACGACCATCCCACAATCCCACCATTCGCCCCGTCTTTCACGACCCTCACACCAGTTCTTCAGGGTGCTGCCGCCAGTGGTGGAGTGGAGGGGACCTGTTCAACACATCAGTAGTCCAAGTAGCAGACTGACGCCATTCCACCATCCCACCATTCCACCATCCCACCATTCCACCATCCCACCATTCCACCATCCCACCATTCCACCATTCCACCATTCCACCATCCCACCATTCCACCATCCCATCCACCATTCCACCATCCCACCATTCCACCATCCCACCATTCCACCATCCCACCATTCCACCATTCCACCATCCCACCATTTCACCATCCCACCATTCCACCATCCCACCATTCCACCATTCCACCATCCCACCATTCCACCATCCCACCATTCCACCATGCCACATTACCCATCCGCCGCTCTGTCCACACACCCCCCGCCAGCTCTTCGGGGTACTCCCATCAGTGGTGGAGACGAGGGACCCGCTCAGCACACATCAGTATTTTTTTTTGTCGACTCAAAAGCCTCCGTCCACACTCCCCACGCCAGTTCTTCGGGGTACTGCCATCAGTGGTGGAGCTTAGGAACCCGTTGAACACATCAGTGTTTGGAGACAACATCGGTGACATGACCTGCACATATGACCCGCGCGCCAGGCGCTTCTATCTCTCCACCTACTGGACTGTGAGTGGATGGGTGTGGGGGGTGGAGAGTGTGGTGCTGCTGGGTGCTGCTGGGTGCTGCTGGGTGCTTCTACCTCTCCACCAACTGGACTCTGAGTGCTGAGCCGTGCCTCAATTCCCCCTCACTTCCTTGCCTCAATTCCCCATCCCTCAATTCCTCTCTCACTTGATTCCTCTCTCCGTTGCTTCCTCCCTTTCTTGATTCCTCTTTTTGTCCTGTCTCCTCCCTACCGCACCACCCGCCCCCCTCGTCTCCTCGTCCTCCCTCTCGTTTTCCTCCGTCATTCTCTTCCCGTTTTCCTCACCCCTTCTCTTCCTTCTCATTGACCTTCCTTCGACCATACTCTCCACATGCCCTCCTTCGCATTCCCACATCTCCTCACGTGCAGTCAGGGGGTGGCAACAACACGTATGACAAGTTTGGGCAGACGAGGAGGCGAGGCAACACAACAGTGGGCTCGGGGCTGATAGTGGCAGCATCAACCACCGACGACCCCACCCGGGACTGGAATGTCTTCTTCATTCCCGGCTCGTACGCTCGCCTCTTTTTTTCACCTTAATTCTCTCACGGTTTCTCACATTCCTCTCTTTTTCTCACCCTTTGCACCGTCTTTTTTTCTCGCCGTTAGTGACAGTTTTCCACCCCTTTCTCACCCCCTTCTTCACCCTTTCCTCACCTTGACTCGCTTCGTGTCACTCTCCACTGTCATCCGCTGCTCTCCTCGTGCGCCTCCCTGCAACAGCAGCCCCATTCCCCAATCGGCCAGATTCCGTGGCCTGTCCTTAGGATTCCGTGCCCTGTCCTTAGGATTCCGTGCCCTGTCCTTAGGATTCCGTGGCCTGTCCTTAGGATTCCGTGCCCTGTCCTTAGGATTCCGTGGCCTGTCCTTAGGATTCCGTGCCCTGTCCTTAGGATTCCGTGCCCTATCCTTAGGATTCCGTGCCCTGTCCTTAGGATTCCGTGCCCTGTCCTTAGGATTCCGTGCCCTGTCCTTAGGATTCCGTGCCCTGTCCTTAGGATTCCGTGCCCTGTCCTTAGGATTCCGTGCCCTGTCCTTAGGATTCCGTGCCCTGTCCTTAGGATTCCGTGCCCTGTCCTTAGGATTCCGTGCCCTGTCCTTAGGATTCCGTGCCCTGTCCTTAGGATTCCGTGCCCTGTCCTTAGGATTCCGTGCCCTGTCCTTAGGATTCCGTGGCCTGTCCTTAGGATTCCGTGGCCTGTCCTTAGGATTCCGTGCCCTGTCCTTAGGATTCCGTGGCCTGTCCTTAGGATTCCGTGCCCTGTCCTTAGGATTCCGTGGCCTGTCCTTAGGATTCCGTGCCCTGTCCTTAGGATTCCGTGCCCTGTCCTTAGGATTCCGTGGCCTGTCCTTAGGATTCCGTGCCCTGTCCTTAGGATTCCGTGGCCTGTCCTTAGGATTCCGTGCCCTGTCCTTAGGATTCCGTGCCCTGTCCTTAGGATTCCGTGGCCTGTCCTTAGGATTCCTTGCCCTGTCCTTAGGATTCCGTGGCCTGTCCTTAGGATTCCGTGCCCTGTCCTTAGGATTCCGTGCCCTGTCCTTAGGATTCCGTGGCCTGTCCTTAGGATTCCGTGGCCTGTCCTTAGGATTCCGTGGCCTGTCCTTAGGATTCCGTGCCCTGTCCTTAGGATTCCGTGGCCTGTCCTTAGGATTCCGTGCCCTGTCCTTAGGATTCCGTGCCCTGTCCTTAGGATTCCGTGCCCTGTCCTTAGGATTCCGTGCCCTGTCCTTAGGATTCCGTGCCCTGTCCTTAGGATTCCGTGCCCTGTCCTTAGGATTCCGTGCCCTGTCCTTAGGATTCCGTGGCCTGTCCTTAGGATTCCGTGCCCTGTCCTTAGGATTCTGTGCCCTGTCCTTAGGATTCCGTGGCCTGTCCTTAGGATTCCGTGACCTGTCCTTAGGATTCCGTGCCCTGTCCTTAGGATTCCGTGCCCTGTCCTTAGGATTCCGTGCCCTGTCCTTAGGATTCCGTGCCCTGTCCTTAGGATTCCGTGCCCTGTCCTTAGGATTCCGTGCCCTGTCCTTAGGATTCCGTGCCCTGTCCTTAGGATTCCGTGCCCTGTCCTTAGGATTCCGTGCCCTGTCCTTAGGATTCCGTGCCCTGTCCTTAGGATTCCGTGCCCTGTCCTTAGGATTCCGTGCCCTGTCCTTCTCTCCTTTTGCGGAGTAATGAAGGATTCGAAACGCGCCAGTTAGGATTCAGTTAGGATTAGGATTCCGTGCCCTGTCCTTCTCTCCTTCCTCCCCATCTCCTCTTCTTCTCTACGCCTCCCTAACTTCCTCTTCTCCTTCCTGCTGTTTCCTCCCTCTCCACCTCTCCTAGCAACGACGGAATCAACTCCAATCCGGATTAAAAGCGCCTCTGCACTCTCAAGGTCCAGGGAGTGCTGTTTCCTCCCCCAACCCAAACCCCCCTCCGTCCGTCCTTTCCCCCTCTCCCCCCCCCCCTCCCAGCAACGATGGCATCAACTCCAATCCGGACTGGAGGGCGCCTCTGCACTTCAACTCGTCTCGACTCACCATGTTTTGTATGCCGGGTCGTGTCGCGGATGGTGGTGTGGTCGATGGTTCTGTGATGGCGTGGGTGATGGTTGTGTGATGGTGTGGGTGATGGTGGGTGACGGTGTGAGTGATGGTTCTGTGATGGTGTGGGTGATGGTTCTGTGATGGTGTGGGTGATGGCTGCATGATGTTGCTTGCATGATAATGATTATGATGTTATGATGAGGTTATGGAGATAAAACATTTACCATCTTTTGTTTCCCTAGTGCATCTACTGTCAAAAGTGAGCTTGCTTTTGCCACCGAGTGTGCCTTTGCCACCGAGTGTGCCTTTGCCACCGAGTGTGCCTTTGCCACCGAGTGTGCCTTTCCCACCGAGTGTGCTTTTGCCACCGAGTGTGCTTTTGCCACCGAGTGTGCACATAAATAAGCCACGTTTACGTGATTTTCTCTCCTCCCATGAGATTGACCTCTTGCCTCATCCTCCCATGAGATTGACCTCGCCTCATCCTCCCATGAGATTGACCTCTTGCCTCATCCTCCCATGAGATTGACCTCTTGCCTCATCCTCCCATCGAGATTTTCTCTCCTAACCCTGTCACTCGACCTGCTTCTATTGCTGCCCACTTGTGCTGTCATTTGTCTGTTTGAGATAGCTTCTTTTCCCCTCTTGTCCTACTCTACTCCTCCCTTCCTGCCTTTCCCACCCCCATCAGTGGACTACCCTCAGATCGGCACTGATGCCTATGGTATGTGCACTCATGCCCATGCTTTGTGCTTTCTTGTATCTGTCATGTTTTCCCATGCCATGTGCGAGCCCCCATCAGTGGACTACCCTCAGATCGGTACCGATGCCTATGGTATGTGTGAGAGTGACAGATCGCAATCCTGATGCCTATGGTACGTGTGTCAGAGATAGGTCGCAATCCTGATGCCTATGGTACGTGTGTCAGAGATAGGTCGCAATCTTATGACACCGATGCCTATGGTATGTGAGAGTGACAGGTCGCAATCCTAAGTGTATAGTTCTTCTTTTCATGGTTCACCCTGGTGTAGATCATTGTGGCTTTTGTATCCACCCTCTCAACCTATGCCTATGGTATGTGCGTTAGAGTTAGAGATAGGTCACAATCCTATGTCCATATCTAAACTCTTGACCTTCTTATTTTCTAATTGGTCTACTTTATCTATTCCAGCTCAGATTGTTACACGGTTCCATGCCTGCTGACCTACTCACACAGAATTCACCTTCACTCTAGCTACCTTCAATTCAATCACAAAAGCCCATTGGTTTCCTCAATATTTGCGCATGACTCCCCCCCTGCATGCACCCCCCTTTCCCCCAACCTGAGACGTATCGAATTGGTTTCATAGCTGCTGTCCCACACGCACGGGGAACGTACCTTCACGCCCTTTCCAGAAGCCCATTGGTTTCCTCACTATTCGCGCATGACTCTCCCCCTGCCGGCACCTTCCTTTCACCCCCACCAGGATTTTACATGTCGATAAACCAGTTCTCAGGGGAGCTGGACGACTACTATGGTTCTTGCATATAGTGAGTGCTTATAGTGAGTGCACATAGTGAGTGCATATAGTGGGTGCATGTAGTGAGTGCATATAGTGAGTGCATATAGTGAGTGCATGTAGTGAGTGCATGTAGTGAGTGCATGTAGTGAGTGCACATAGCGAGTGCACATAGCGAGTGCACATAGCGAGTGCATATAGCGAGTGCATATAGCGAGTGCATGTAGCGAGTGCATGTAGTGAGTGCATGTAGTGAGTGCATATAGTGAGTGCATATAGTGAGTGCATATAGTGAGTGCATAGTGAGTGCATATAGTGAGTGCATATAGTGAGTGCATATAGTGAGTGCATATAGTGAGTGCATATAGTGAGTGCATATAGTGAGTGCATATAGTGAGTGCATATAGTGAGTGCATATAGTGAGTGCATGTAGTGAGTGCATGTAGTGAGTGCATGTAGTGAGTGCATGTAGTGAGTGCACATAGCGAGTGCACATAGCGAGTGCACATAGCGAGTGCACATAGCGAGTGCATATAGCGAGTGCATGTAGCGAGTGCATGTAGCGAGTGCATGTAGTGAGTGCATGTAGTGAGTGCATGTAGTGAGTGCATGTAGTGAGTGCATCTAGTGAGTGCATATAGTGAGTGCATATAGTGAGTGCATATAGTGAGTGCATATAGTGAGTGCATATAGTGAGTGCATATAGTGAGTGCATATAGTGAGTGCATATAGTGAGTGCATATAGTGAGTGTAGTGAGTGCTTTGCCTCTCGACCGTTGTTGTCACCTTGAAGTTCACCTTGAAACACAACAGGTGTTTGTGGGCGAGAAATGCGTTGTTGGCCCTCAGCCCTTGCTGGCCACTGGTTGTGCTCACATCACTCCCAACCCTTCCAACTTCCAACCATGGTTGACTCATGCACTTGCACCCCCTCTCCTGCCCCTTCTCCCCTACATCCTGCCCCTTCTCCCCTACCTCCTCCCCTCCTCCCCTGCCAGTGCAATATCCAAGTCGCAACTCCAAGCACCAGAGAATGCCACGATTCTCCGCTTCGTCGTCCCTTACTCAGAGGCCCTCAGCAATCCAGCCTACACCATCTACCCTCAGAAGGTCGCAGCCGACGGGGACTACGACTACAGCCACGGCGGCACCATGTATTTCGGCTGGACGCCAATCAACTACAACCCCGGCGCTCCCAACGAAACCGTGCTGGTTGCTAATTATACCATGATTGGCGCCTTTGCTCTAACGGGTACAAGTGCTCTGGGCACACCGGAAGCAGACAGCTTGGTGGAGCCACACTGTGCCGCTGTGAACACTCCCCCGTACTATAATCCTTTGCCCGTAACCCAGAAACCCGGGCCTGTTCCCACTGCTTGGAGGATGAACAGCACAATCGCACCCATCGGCCCTTCGTTTGTAGATATGCGAGGCGTGGTGGTATCCCCTGGGAAGAGGCAGATGTGGGTGAGCTTTATGTCGGCCTTTGGCAAGGACATGAGTGCTTCTGCCGTGGTCGCGAGGCTTCGCTTGTCTTTGAGGCTCAAGCGCAAGTGGAGGCCGTTTCAAGTGTTTCTGGAGCGGTTCAAAGTGGTGGGGGTGGGCGGAGGGAACAGCCTCATTCAGCCCACCATCGCTCTCAACAGGTGGGAGAGAGGCCATGGAATGGGTGGATGGGCAAGAGGGGAGAGAGGGATCTGGTAAAGCAGGGAGAGAGGGATCTGGTAAAGCAGGGAGAGAGGGATCTGGTAAAGCAGGGAGAGAGGGATCTGGTAAAGCAGGGAGAGAGGGATCTGGTAAAGCAGGGAGAGAGGGATCTGGTAAAGCAGGGAGAGAGGGATCTGGTAAAGCAGGGAGAGAGGGATCTGGTAAAGCAGGGAGAGAGGAGAGGAGAATGTTAACTACGGCCTTACCGTGCCTTACCGTGGCCTTACCGTGGCCTTACCGTGGCCTTACCGTGGCCTTACCGTGGCCTTACCGTGGCCTTACCGTGGCCTTACCGTGGCCTTACCGTGGCCTTACCGTGGCCTTACCGTGGCCTTACCGTGGCCTTACCGTGGCCTTACCGTGGCCTTACCGTGGCCTTACCGTGGCCTTACCGTGGCCTTACCGTGGCCTTACCGTGGCCTTACCGTGGCCTTACCATGCCCTTACCGTGGCCTTACCGTGGCCTTACCGTGCCCTTACCATGCCCTTACCGCGGCCTTACCATGGCCTTGCCATGCCTGAGGAGGGGAGTTGACTTCTCTTGTGTTTCCCTTGGCAGCATGATGGGAACCAGTGCGTGACATGACATAATAATACCCACGAGCACTTACCATTCAGGATGGGCGGGAGCACTAGGCGTGCAGCATGCACCATGCTGTATGGTGTATGGTGTTTGCAATTGCGGCCCTTCAACCACAGCAAGAGAATCACGGTAGCATCAAGCCCGTCCTCTTTCCCTCCACACTTCTCTCTTTTTGGCCAAACCGACACACACACACTCTCTCTCCCTTCACTCCATTCCCCAGGCACGGCAAGGGCATCATAGCAGTGTCACTAGCAGGGCGTTCCTTCTACCCCTCAGCTGCCTATGCCACTCTCAACGCCAATGTGGATGTCGGCCGCGTGGTCGTTACCGGCCCAGGGAAAGTGCCGCTCGACGACTTCACTGGTAAGTCCTCAGCCCTCGGGTGCGTGGCCCTCTGCTTGTTGTTCTTTCTAGTGGTTCAGGACAATACTGTCGCCCGCGGGAACGCCCTTTACACGACTTAACTGGTGAGTCCTCTCCTCTTACGCTGCTTGCTGGTTTTGTAGCGTCCAAGTAGTCGTCGATGTTGGGCGGGTGGGCTGGGGGGGCCTTACGTCCATTAACTTTAGTGGTTATTGAAGTCTAAGGAGAATCCTTGCCGGCCCATGAAAAGCTCCTCTTGATGACTACTCATATAGGGTGCTTGTGGCAGCGACTTAACAGTCGAGTGAATTGCCACCTCACCCCACTCAAGTGAATTGCCACCTCACCCCACTCGAGTGAATTGCCACCTCACCCCACTCTCCTCTTGTAGGGTATATGTGACAGAGACTTTACAGTCATGAAGAATCGCAACCTGTAAGCCACCGCCACATGTGTCACACCCACACCCTTCCATCCCTCGATCTATCCCCCCAGGGTACCGCGGTGCAACGGAGATGAGATATGGCGACTACATGTCACCGCCTCTTGAATCGACTCAAGAGCCACCGCCACCTGGCTCCCACCCACACCCACACCCACACCCACACCCACACCCACTCATCCCTCGCTCTCTCCCCCTCAGGTTACCGCGGTGCAACGGAGATGCGGTACGGGGACTACATGACGGCAACAATCGACGAGGAGGGCAACGCGTGGGCGGCAGTGCAGTATGTGGCGGGGCAGCCGCGCACCGAGTGGAGCAACTGGGCTACCTTCGTCTTCAAAGTCCACCTGCAGGGGCGGGAGGGAGAGGGGAATGGGGATGGGGGAAACGGGGGCGGGGGAAATGGGGACGGGGGGAATGGGGACAGCGGGGGGAATGGGGATAATGAGGGGAGTGGTGATAACGGAGGGAATGGGGACAACGGGGGAAATGGGGATCATGAGGGGAAGTAGGAAAAAGGGGGAAATGGAGAGGTTGGGGGGAATGGGGATACAAGGGGGACGGGTGTAGTGGGGGGAATGGGAATAATGTGGGTAGATAAGAGAGGAGAGGGGGGGGGATTTGAGGAAGTATGGGGAAGAGGAGAGGGGGAGAAAGGGGAATAAGGCTAGAAGGGGAGAACGTATGTAGAGAAATGAGGAGAAGGGGGTGATATCAGCCCTACACGTGCAGGAGTGTTTCTCTCACAGGCGTGTGTGTGTTGCTCCCTCAGCAACACAGACTCTCTCCCTGCAACTCATGCATAGCATCTCATCACTTGCCATGTCAAACATTTCCGATTGTTGTTAGATATATCTGTCAAAGTATATGCATGCTATATATGTGTAGGCTGTAGTGGGGTAGCCAATATGGGGTACAACCTCGTTTAGGGTTTCATACTTGTACCCTACTCTTCCATAGTGCATTCATTCCTGCTGCTAGATTCTAACATGGTATCAGAGCACTAGGTCCGTAGGACCGTCCTTTTTTTTCGGGCCCACCTATCGTTGCGGTTACCGCGCTACCCCACGTGTTGTCCTGCGCCTGCCTGCATGCCTTGCCTTGTGACGTGCTGCACTGCGCGCGCCGTCCTGCAGCCCTCGCGCTGCCTCCTGCTGCCCTAGGCCAGCGCGTCGCCCCTGCAGGCCTGTAAGGCCCGTGCGACGCCCCTGCAGACCCGTCAGGCCCGCGAGCCGCCCCTGCAGGCCCGTCAGGCCAGAGTGCCGCCCCGCCAGGTCGCTGACGCGCCCCCGCCCTGCCGTGGTCGCGGCCCCGCCCTGCCGCCGACGCGGCCCCGCCCTGCCGCTGTCGCGGCCCCGCCCTGCCGCCGACGCGGCCCCGCAAGGTCGCTGTCGCGGCCCGCCCTGCCGCTGACGCGACCCCGCCCTGCCTCTGACGCGGCCGCGCCCTGCCGCCGAAGCGGCCCCGCCAGGTCGCTGTCGCGGCCCGCCCTGCCACTGTCGCGGCCCCGCCCTGCCTCTGACACGGCCGCGCCCTGCCGCCGACGCGGCCCCGCCCTGCCTCTGACGCGGCCGCGCCCTACCGCCGACGCGGCCCCGCCCTGCCTCTGACGCGGCCGCGCCCTACCGCCGACGCGGTCCCACCTGGCCGCCGACGCGGCCCCGCCAGGCCGCTGACGCGACGCCGCCCTGCCGCTGTCGCGGCCCCACCCTGCCGCCGACACAGCCCCGCCAGGTCGCGGCCCCGCCCTGCCGCTGACGCAGCCCCGCCAGTACGCTGTTGCGCCCCCGAGTTGCCGCAGACGCGGCCCCGCCCTGCAGCTGACGCGGCCCCGACCTGCCGCTGACGCGGCCCCGCCCTGCAACTGCCGCGGCCCTACCCTGCAGCCGCGGTTGCGGCCCCGCCGTCGCCGCCGTCGTGCGCCTACCCTGCCGCCGCCCGCCGAGCGCCGGCCCTGCTCGCCCGGCGAGCGCCTACCCTTCCCGCCACTGGTGAGCACCTGCCTTGTTCGCGCGCTGCCGCGCCCTCTGCCTGCCTGTCTGCCTGCCTTCCTGCCTGCCCGCCTGCCTGCCTGCCGCGCCTGCCCTGCCCGCGCTGCTGCTGCTGCTGGCGGTGGCCAGATGCAGCTCCAGCGACGTCTGCGCGAGTCTCTCACGCCCCAGCAGCTTCGTGAGTGGTACGCTAGTTGGGGTTGTGGCGGTAGCCGTCGTGGCTGTCGCCCTGGAGCTGGTCAGTCGGGAGCGTCTGGCAGTGGCCAGCTGCAGCGGCGTCCGCGCGAGACACTTACGCCCCAACAGCTTCGTGAGTGGTACGCTCAGAGTAGAGGGTCTTTGAGTACCGTTCGCTGCCCGTACGTCATTCGCATAGGTGATCGGACGGGTTAGGCTTGCGGGACGCTTAGTCATACACAGTCCCGCTGCTTCGCCCGTCTGAGCGACACCTGGCGTATCCGAGTTTGGCGACGAGGCTGAGCTCCCCGACTGGGTGGAGCTGCTTGGGCAGAGGGTAGATATATTTGCTCTTGACTATGATGCTATTCTCAGTGCCATGTATGCATTGCCTACTAGTGCTGACCGTGCCTGTTATCTGTGCGTACTGCCTGACCCAGGTATAGAGCCTGCTGCTCTCGGTGCTGGTGAGGTTGCTGCTCTAGGTGCTCGTGCGTCTCCTGCTCTAGGTGCTGGTGAGGCTACTGCTCTAGGTGCTAGTGCGTCTCCTGCTCTGGGTGCTGGTGAGGCTGCTGCTCCAAGTGCTGGTGAGTCTGCTCTCTCTGGTACTGTGCCTGCTGAGGCCTTGTACACCTTCACACTTGACTCAGGTGCTTCCCGCTCCTTCTTTTGCGACAGCACCACCCTCACGCCGCTCAGCCGGCCGGTTCCAGTCTCCTTGGCAGACCCCTCTGGGGGTCCAGTCCTTGCGCACTCCTCCACGGTCCTGCCGTGTCCGGCGGTCCCGTCTGGCTCCCTGTCAAGTTTTCACCTCCCCTCGTTCTCTACAAACTTGGTGAGTGGTGTTGACCTCCAGGACCAATGGGTTGACGAGTTCACTCCTGGAGGTCAGCGCGAAACCCACTGTACGTGCTCCCGGACGGGCTGGCACCTAGCCACCTTTACACGTGCGCCTGGCTCAAGTTTGTACACACTGACTACTGTGTCCCCTCAGGTTGCTGCGTCTGCGTCTGCGTCAGGTCAGCTAGCGGCCCCCTGCTCGTGTCGCGCTTTGTCGCGCCAGACCCTCCTTTGGCACCACCGCCTTGGTCACCCCTCGGTGCAGCGCCTTCGTAGCATGCACCGCCGTGTCCTTGTCTCTGGTCTTCTCAGGGTTCTCCCTCCCCTCCCACCCTCGCCTACTCCTCCCTGTCTTCCCTGTGTTGAGGGGCGGCAGCGCGCCGCTCCTCACTCCTCCTCGTTCCCTCCCACAGAGGCTCCCCTGCAGACTCTCCACCTGGACGTGTGGGGCCTAGCCCGCGTCTGTGGACAGGGCCACAAGCGGTACTTCCTGCTGGTCGTCAACGACTACACGCGTTACACCACGGTCTTCCCCTTGCAGTGCAAGGGGGAGGTCCCTGATGTTTTGATCCCCTGGATCCGCGCTGTTCGTCTCCAGCTCCGCGAGCGGTTCCAGTTAGACTTTCCTGTCCTGCGTCTGCACTCTGATAGAGGTGGTGAGTTCTCCTCAGACCTCTTGGCAGCCTTCTATGCAGAGCACGGCATCCGCCAGATGTTCACGCTTCCGGCCTCTCCGCAGCAGAATGGGGTTGCTGAGCGCCGCATTGGCTCAGTCATGGAGGTCGCTCGTACCTCCATGATCCATACGGCTGCCCCTCATTTTCTGTGGCCGTTTGCGGTCCGGTACACCGTGCATCAGCTCAACCTCTGGCCCCGTGTCTCCTTACCGGAGACCTCGCCCACACTGCTGTGGACAGGAAGGTTGGCGATGCGTCGTGTTTCCGGGTCTGGGGTGCTCGTGCCTTTGTCCGCAATACCACCGCGGACAAGCTCTCCGCCCGCGCTGTTCCCTGTGTCTTCCTTGGCTTTGTCCCTGACGCGCCTGGTTGGCAGTTTTACCACCCCACCTCGCGCCGTGTCTTCCCCTCTCAGGACGTCACGTTCGACGAGTTGGTTCCCTTTTACCGTCTCTTCCCCTACCGCACTGCCCCTCTCCCCCCCCTCGTCGCTCTTCCTCGCTCCAGGTGCTCCCCAGGTAGACCCCCTCCTCGCTCCCGATCCTGCTCCTTCAGGTGTGTCTCAGGTAGACCCTCCTCCCTTGACTGCGCCGGTTGAGGTTACGGGTGACTGAGGTCCTGCTGAGGGTGGTCCTGCTCGGGGTGCTGCTTCTGGGGGTGTTGAGCCTAGGGGTGCGGAGCCTGGGGGTGCGGAGCCTGGAGGTGCGGAGCCTGGGGGTGTGGAGCCTGGGGGTGCGGAGACTGGAGGTGCTGAGCCTGGGCGTGAGGAGTCTGGGGGTGCTGAGCCTGGGGGTACTGAGTCTGGGGGTGCTGCACCTAGGGGCGCTGAGGCGTCTGGTGAGTAGTCTCCCAGGAGCGGCCGTCTCCGTAGTCGCTCCGCTAGTGCCTCGCCGCTACACTCTCGTTGTCGACTCCCTCTCTCCCCACAATAGCTGCGTGAGTGGTACGTTGGCCGTCAGGGTCGCGTTGCTAGAGCTAGGGGCCCTGCTGCGGGAGGCGCTGGAGCTGGTGGCTCTGCTACTGGAGTTGTTTATGCTGGAGGTTCTGGAGATGCTTAGGGTGCTGGAGCTGGTTGCACTGGAGCTGGAGGTTCTGGAGCTGCTGAGGGTGCTGGCGCTGGAGGTTCTGGTGCTGCTGCGGGTGCTGGCGCTGAGGGTTCTGAGTCTGCTGTTGCGGGGTCTCCTTGGAGTAGCCGCCATCGTCCGCGTGTGCCTCTCACCTCACAGCAGCTGCACGACTGGTACGGTCGCCGTCAGGGTCGCGCTTCTGGAGCTCGGGGCTCTGCCGCTGGAGGTACTTCTGCTGACATCACTGGAGCTGGGAGTGGTGCTAGTCCCGGAGGTGCTCGTACTAGAGGTACTGGAGCTGCTGGGGCTGGAGGTGCTGAGCTTGAGGGTGCTACTGCTGGATACCCTGGGTCTGGGGGTGCTGCTGCTGGAGACACTGAGGCTGGAGACCCTAGGACTGGAGGTGTCGGTTCTGGGGGTGCTGCTGCTGATGGAGCTGGTCCTGGAGGAGCTAGCGCTGGGGGTTCTGGAGCTGCTGGAGGTTCTAGAGCTGCTGGCAGTGCTGGAGGTGCTGGTACTGGTGGCACTACACGGCCGCGCCTGTTCTTTGCTCCGACGACTCCGTCGTCTCAGCCACCGTCTGACTCTGTGCTTCGCTAGGTTCCTTGTCTCCCTTCGTCTACTGGTCTTCCATTATAGCCTGGCTCACCGCTGCCTGCTCCTTCTCCTTACACTGAGCAGACAGGGGGGCTTACTGAGCGTCGTGAGCCTGCGTCGCGTCCTGTCTCGCCTGTCCGTTCTGGTCGTCCCGGTTGTTGTG